TTTGAAATATAATGAAGAAATATAGTGTTTTAAAACACATATAGAGAGAATAAATCCTCAAAATTTCCCCCTCCCGCTGGAGAAAAATTACGTTGCGCCATCGTGTCGCAGGATCCCTCCCCCACCCTTCGCTGCACGTCGCGCAGAGTGAAGCATTAACAACTGTAGTTTTTTCACACCCAAGTTGTTGGCAAAAAAAATTACTTTTTATGTATTGTTTCCCACAGAGGTGATTAAAAAACGTGGGGGTTCATTCAGTCATAAATCCATCTTGCTAATGTAACAGTCAACATCTGCTCTAACAACGCAGCAGAGCAGCAGCTGATAAGTTCAACAGGCCAACAGGCTCTTTGTATGGCAGGCAGGTATTAAAATGGTAAATGGACTGTACTTATATAGCACCTTTCTATCCATCCAGGACACTCATATTACATTTATTTGGCTTCACCACACTTACATTCCAGTTAGCTGAAATTGTTTTATGACTAGSACTAATTGCAGCTTAAGGTCCTGTCACACTATAATATTTTAGGCAACTTTTGGCAACTTAGAATTTTTGTTATGTCTAAATGACAAATTTTACTTGAGATACTGGTTATAACATCCATGTTATTTTGATATTGTTGAAAATTTGAGAAATTATTTTGTTTGTTGAAACCGTTTTGCAATATGTATAAAACATTCTTTTGTGCTTCTGTTATGATCATTTGCTCTACAGCACAAATGCTAGGTTGATTATGATTACAGTTTTCTGTTAAATAAATGCTCTAAAATTACATTATCTTTGATTTTTATGATAATTCTCTACCACGATATATACCGTTACCATGAAGGGATTCAGTTTATACCGTGATATGAATTTGAGGTCATACCGCCCAGACCGAGTGTAATGTTTTATTTTTCTTGTCACAGGTGGGTGGAAAAGTCCACGTGACATTGGTGGAAGATGGATTTCCCAGAAGACTTGTTGGCTGAGCTGGAGTTCTACAATGGATCACTTTTCCACAACAACTTCAGCAGTGTCTACAATGAGACGGATCCACTCGTGCCAACAGGGGTGAAGGTCACCATAGTTGTGGTCTACATGATTGTCTGCGTCATTGGCCTCGTGGGAAATTTCCTAGTGATGTATGTCATCATAAGGTGAGCAGAGTTTAATTTCTTCTTTAAGTCAACATTGTTCTTGAAGCTTCCAGGAAGGAGGACCACACTGTTTATTGCCTGAAAGGATCAATACTGAAATGATCAATACTATGTAGGAGTGTAAAAGTACATGTATTTGTTCCGAACCGTCACAGTTCACATGCATCAAGGCAGCAGTGAAGAATGAGTGGTGAATGTGTRGAAATCACATAAGGCTTTGGAACCCCCACATGGCGACTGATTTGTGTATTTATTTGATATCAGACWTCATTTTTTTCACCATGAATTTGCTCCTTACAGCAAATTGGCACTTGACTAGATGGTAAGCTTGGTGAGTGATGAATTCATCTTTTGATGTTTTCACATGGGAAAACTTTGATGTTGCTTCGAGTCTCACTTACATTGTTGGAAATCMTTTTTATTTCTAWCAAAAGAGGGATAACTTTSAGTTATGGGGTTGATCAAACTTTTTATTGGAAGCATGGCCTGTTTGTCTTTCTGTCTGTCTGTCCGTTCCATATTTTCTAAAATTTATTCATCTTTATCTAGTGAATAATACTGTGGACACTTAAGCAATTCTGTTGTTCAAATGAAAATAGAAAAATCACATATTTTTGATACTTATTACTGTTGTTACATTCATTCCTATTCTATAGTATAAAACAGGGGTGCCCAACCTTTTTTGAACCAAGAGCTACTTTTGAAGTCAGCAGTTTGCCGAGATCTACTCGTCCAG